AAGGATGCCAACAGGCTGGTCCCACATTCATGTGAGGCAGCTAAAAATTGGGAGGGATGTCTTTGCTGCAGAAGTCTGCTGGGAAACCAGGGGCGCCAACCCCACACCTGAACTCCTAACCCAGGATTCCAGTGCTGGGAAGAGAAGACACCATAACTTCTGGTTATGAAAACCAGCAGGGATTGTAGCTAAGTGAGAGAAGGTTTTTGGAGTCCCAGACAGTTTTTCTTACAGGGCCCCAGCATGGACTTACTCAGACTCACTTGCTCTGAGCTCCAGTGCAAGGGCAGGAGCATGAAAGATGTCAGGACAAATGGCAAGGAGCTGAATTGTTTGCCTTCAGGATGAGAGCTGAAGGGGTAGCTTTCTCTCAGACAGAGGTGTAGGCAGAGGTCTTTGTTCCTTTGCTGAGCCCTCCCTACACAGAGCCTGCCTATGGGTGACATATGTGTCTCCTTCAACCTGCCTAACACTGTTGACCTGCCCTGGTGATTCCCTGAGATCCTGCCCCACCCAATGTTCAGGCCCACCCAAGCGTTTCTAATGACTTTTCCATGTTTTGGTTCATGTTGCTGACTTTTCTAAAACTTCTTAAATAAGGAACATCTGTCCTCTGTGTACCCTGTACATTTGTTAAATGGCTCCAGGCCCAGCACTAGCAGCAGCCAAATTTGGTTCATAGCTTGGCTTTTCCTAGGCACCTCCAAGTCCAACACACATAGCATCCACCTGCGGACTGCTTTGTAGCTCATGCCAGGTGGCCCCTGCCAGGGTATAGGTAGCAGCTGACCTTGGCCTAAATTCCCAGGAGGCTCCAGAGCCAGTATACCAAGTGGACATCTTCAGACCATGCCAAAGCACCATGCTACCACCTCCATCAGTGACGTACCCAAGGAGTGAACTTGGCAGGGAACCTGAGCCCTGTTAAAGTGAGTTCTTCTTTGTGGGGTCAGCTCCTGCACAGCAGACTCTCCATTGTGGTCTCAGGCTGTCCTCACAGCCCATCAGCCTGGGGGTAAACTCCTCCCATCGATGTGCTTAAAGAAATCCAGGCTCAACTACAATAGGGTGCACATAACCCACGTTGGGGGCACATTTGGAATGTCCATCTCAGGTGATTGGGGAGTCTACATCTCTGGGCTCTACAGGACACCTAGTACATAAGGGCATTCAACCAGGACTTGGAGATGTAGTAACTCTACCTAATACTTAGAAATGAACACAGTGAGGCAGCCAAAATGAGGAGAAAAAGAAACATGTCCCAAATGAAAGAACAGAACAAAACTCTAGAAAAAACTAACAAAATTTAGACAAGCAATCTAACAGATGCAGAGTTCAAAAGACTGGTTATAAGAATGCTCAGTGATCTTAGGGGAGGAGTACAGGAACACAGTGAGAACTTCAACAAAGAGATAGGAAACATAAAAGTGGGGATAGAAAACATAGAGAAGGAACCAGTCAGAAACGAAGAGCATAAATGAAGAGCATACTAACTGAAATAAAGAATACATTACAGGGACTCAACAGTGGAGTAGATGATATAAAGGATCAAATCAATGATTTGGAAAATAAGGAAGTAGAAAATACCCTTTCAGAACAGCAAAAGAAAAAAGAATTAAAAAAATGAAGATAGTGTAAGGATCCTATGGGACAACTTCAAGTGTACCAACATTTACATCATGGGGGACCCATAAGGAGAAGGGGGAGCAAGAAATAGAATAAATTCAAACTGTATCAAAAAATTAAATGTTAGACCTGAAACCATAAAAATCCTAGAAGAAAATATAGGCAGCAAATCTCAGGTAATGCTCATAGAAATTTTTTTGTGGGATATATCTCTCCAGGCACAGGGGAACAAAAGAAAAAAGAAACAAATGGGACTACATCAAACTGAAGTTTTTGCATTGCAGAGGAAAACATCAACAAAATAAAATGACAACCCACAGAATGAGAGAACATATTTGCCAGTACATCTGATAAGGAGTTAATATCCAAAATTTATAAAGTACTTACAAAATACAACACCAAAAAAAAAACAAACCCCCAATTAAAACATAGGCAAAGGACCTGAACAAATAAATTAACAAACAAGTGTTGGAGAGGTTGCAGAGAAAAGGGAGCCCTAGTACACTGTTGGTAGGATTGCAGACCAGTACAACCACTATGGAAAACACTTTGGAATTTCCTCAGAAAACTACAAATGGAACAGCCTTTTGACCCAGCAATTCCACTACTAGGATTACATCCTAAGAACCCTGAAACACCAATCCAAAAGAACCTATGCACCCCAATGTTCATAACAGCACAATATACAATAGCCAAGTGCTGGAAGCAACCTAAGTGCCCATCAGTAAATGAGTGGATCAAAAGACTGTGGTACATTTACACAATGGAATACTATGCAGCAGAAAGAAAGAAGGAGCTCCTATACTTTATGACAGCATGGATGGAAATGGAGAGCCCTATGCTAAGTGAAATAAGCCAGGCAGTGAAAGACAAATACCATATGATCTCACCTATAAGTAGAACCCAATGAACAAAACAAACAAGCAAGCAAAATATAATCAGAGACACTGAAATTAAGAACAAACTGACATTAACCAGAGAGGAGGTGGGAGAGGATAATGGGGGTAAGGAGGGAGGGTTTTTAGGAACACCTGTAAAGGACACATGGACAAAGCCAAAGTGGGGTAGGATCAAGGGTGGGAAGTGGGGATGGCTGGAGTAGGGGGGAGAGTTGGGTAGAAAATGGAGACAACTTTACTTGAACAACAATAAAAAAAGTTAAAAAAAATACCCCAACAACAACTATTGGACATTTACACAATGGTAATGAAAAAAACAGAATAAAGAATATATATTTAAAAAATTACTTGAAAAAATATGATGGAAAACTTCCCTAACCTGGTGAAGGAAATAAACCTAAAAGTCCAGGAAGTAGCATCCCAAACAAGATGAACCTAATGAGGGCCCATATTAAGACACATCTTAATTAAAATGCCAAAAGTTAAAGACAAAGAGTGAATCTTTTAAGCAGCAAGAGAAAAGCAGTTACCTACAAGGCTATAACCGATTTCTCAACAGAAACTTTGCAGGCTGTAGGGGTTGGCAAGAAATATTCAAAGTGATGAAAAGCAAGAATCTACAACCAAGATTACTCTATTGAGCAAAGCTATCATTTAGAATGGAAGGACAGATGAAGAGCTTCCCAGACAAGAAAAAGCTAAAGGAGTTCTCACCACCAAACCAGTATTACACTCAAATGTTAAAGAGTCTTCTTTAAGAAGAAGAAAAAAGATAAAGAATATAAACAAAAATGGCAATAAAAACCTATCCATCAACAATTACTTTAAATGCAAATGGATTAAATGCTCCAATCAAAAGACACGGTGGTGCTCTGGCAGGTGGTGCAGTCGGTTGGAATGCAGCCCTGTACACCAGAAGGTGCAGGTTCCATCCTCGGACAGGGCACACACCCAGCTTGTGGGTTTGATCTCTGGTCAGGGCACACACAGGAGGCAACTGATCAATGTTTCTCTCACACTGATGTCTCTTTCTCTCTTATAAAATCAGTGAACATATTCTTGGTCGAGGATTTAAAAAAAAGATATACAGTGGTTGGATGCATAACAAGACCGTTACATATGTTTTCTACAATAGGTTCATTTTAGATAGAAACACACACACAGACTGAAAGTTACAGGATGGAAAAAGATATTTCATGGAAATGCAAACAAACAAAGCTGGGATAGCTATGCTTATACAAGACAAAATACTGCAAAACAAAGGCTATAACAGGAGACAAATAAGGACCTAGCAATTCCACTTCTGGGCATTTATCCAAAGAAACCTAAAATACTAAATGAAAAAGCCATATACATCAATATGTTTATTGAAGCATTATTTACAACAGCCCAGATATGAAAGCAACCTAAGTGTCCATTGATAGATGAAAGGGTGAACTAGTGGTGCATATACGCAATGGAACATGACTCAGCCATACAAGAGAATGAAATATTCCATTTGCAACAACATGATGGACCTAGAGAGTATTGTGCTGAGTGAAGTCAGACAAAGAAAGACAAGTACCATATGATTTCTTTTATATGTGAAATCTAAAAATAAAAATAAACAAGCAGAACAGAAACAGACTCACAGATACAGGGAACATTCTGATGGTCGCCAAATAGGAGGGGTGTTAATGGACTGGGTGAAAACAGTGAAGGGACTAAGTACAAATTGGTAATTACACAATAATTTATTGGGGTGATCACTTTGTAAGTTATATAACCTTAATGTCTAATCATGAGGCTGTACACTTCAAAGTAATATAATATTGTATGTCAACTGTAATTTAAAAATAAGAAGTGTTAAAAACAAAATAAAATGTCCAGGGAAGAAACACACATGGTAATCAATCAGGTTTGAGGGACATAGGTGGAAAAGCTGCAAACGGATATGAATAGGTAGTAGGAAGATTAAAAAGAAATAAAAGGTCACAGGCACAGGAAATAAAGTTTATCAAATGGCCGTTTGTGGTTCTGTGAAGGTGGCAGATCCTGTGATAAGAATTCATCCAATGGACCGTCGTGCCGGGTGGCATGTGGGCCTGGGAAGCTGCTGGCGGCATGGCAGGGTGCTGCCGTCATGCATTGGTGTGCGCGTGGGGGCGATACTCTTGAATATTTTTATGGAATCTCTTGTCTTTTAGGAACTGTACCTAAAAGAGTAAGACTGGATTTTTGGTGAAAATGTGACACAGAAATCTAAGATACCATTGTTGTAAAAATACATTTATATTATTAAAAAATGTATTAGGGGAAAAAATAAACCTTGCCTGTTTATAACTGGTGAAGCATGGCTTTTTCAAAGGCAGAGAAGGTAAACGTTTCCCTGGAATATGACCAACAACTGATGTTAAGGCACAGGAAATACTGTAGAGGGTAGAAGAGGGTGACTGCAGAATCTAAAAGCTGTGACTTTCCCACAGTGACTGTCACCTGTTTGGTTTTCTCTGATGGGGCAGAAACTGGAGTTGTCTCCGGCTGCATCATTTCTACGTCTCCTCCTCCTTCACCAGCTGATGCTTCTGGAAGATATAAAGTTTAAAAATTAGAAATGCCTCTCCCCTCCCCCACAATTGCTACCACTGCTAAGGACAATCTTGGTATACCACCTTTCTAGAAAGTTCTATTCCTTAGCAATTCCATCTCTAGGAAGATGTAGTTAAGAAAATGATTCGAAATGAAGATAGAGATTTCAGCACCAAGATAGCAGTCTTATTTATAAAGCCGCAAAACTGAAGATTATCCAAATGTCTAACATTAGAGAATGTTTAATTATGGAACACTCACACTCACACTTATTTTAGATATAAAATGCTTCTTTTTCAGATAAAAAAGCTGCTGCTAAGAGGTAATTATAGTTCATGAGAAATTCTTATTTTAAATTTTTAAAATCTTTCAACAAAAAGATACATTTTACTCAAAGAATTGGGAAAATAAAAGTTTTAATGGTTTTCCTGTTTATAAAGTTCTCTCGAAGAAACATGGCAACCATAAATTTATTTTCCATAATGTCATCCTGCCTTCCAGATTACAGCGGTTGCTCTCTGTAAATACATTTTTGAATCTTTGAAAGGCTTTACTCATTCCCTTTGAGTTTCTCTGTATATCTCAACGTCAGCTCAAAAGAGTATTTGATGAGTAAACATTGGTCAGAATTCATATTAAGATCCAAATTATCCCATTTGGTAGTCTTGAGTTTTTAAATGTTTGCATACCATGATGATTAATTTTGTGTCAACTTGATTGAGACTTGGGATGCCTCCAAACTTGGTCAAACGTCATTCTGGGTGTTTCTATGAGGGTGTTTCTCGAGATTAACATTTCCATGGGCATTCTGTTTTATTCCCTGGGAATAAAACATCGGATGAAAGCCTGAATCAGCTCACCTTCCTCTGAGTAAGAATACTTCCTGCTTTTGCACTTGAACTGAAACATGGGCTCTTCCTGGATCTGGAGTATGTCAGCCCAGACCTCACACTGGAACCACACCATCAGCTCTCCTGGCTCTCCAGCTTGCCAATTCATCCTGACAATTTGGGGACCTGTCAGTCTCTATAATTGCATGAACCAATTCCTTACTTTATATCTACATCCATATATATATATACATGCAGATAGATATATAGATTTCTACCTCATATTGCTTTTGTTTTCCTAGAGAACCCTGATCAATACACATACTTTCAACTATTTAGTATGAAAAAAAGAACTCTCCCCAGTGGAGTAGCAGAGTAACAGGGAATTTTTCAATGAGTGATTAAGTTGGTACTGAAAGTATTTACAGAACTTCTCCCTTTGGGGAGATAGTATTAGTAATCATATTTTCCCCTATTCTTCCTGGTAAGTACAGCTAAAAATCCTGAGCATTATATGAGTTAGCCAAAAAGTCTGTATTTTTTCTGTAAAATAAGGCACATTTTTCATTTTCACCAATAACTTTATTGATTTGGATATTTTGAGTATGTCTGCTGTCTTCCACGTGGTATAACATTGATTGTTCTCAATTGATGTCTTGATTCGATTGCTATGAACTTCACCCTGTTTACCGAACCGTGGAGCATCATCCAGCAACAAATCTCCAGCACAAAACTTTTCAAACTACTTTCGACATGTTCGATTAGTCACAGCACCTTCTCCATTCACTGCACAAATCTGTTTTTTTGCATTTCAGTTGCATTTTTATCTTTCTTGAAATAATAAAGCATAACACATGAAAAATGTTGTTTATTTTCTTCCATCTTCCATATTAAAATGGCTATACAAGAATTCACCACTTTTGAAAAGTTCTTTAAAATGAACACTTATATGACAGCTGTCACAATGTAGTCTAACAAAGTTGTTTTGAATGAAGTTAAAGACAACTAAGCACCACTAGAGACGTCTTATGGAAAAAAAACAAACGAACTTTTTGGCCAACCCAGTATATAAAACAAAACAGGAAGTCTCGGAAGGGGGTGTGACTACAGAAAACCAACAAGTAATATTCTTGTTGGGATAGAAATATTCGGTATCCTAACTGTATTCATGTCAATATCCTTATTTTGGTATTGTCCTATAGTTTGGCAAGTTGTTATCACTGAGGGAATCTTGGAAAGGGGACATGTGATCTCTTTGTATTGTTTTTAACAACTGCATGTGAATCTACAATGATTTCAAAGTCAAAAGTTCAATTAAAACAATCTTTAAAGGAAATTCATCCTCTTCTTCAGGAAGCCAAAAATTATTATGCGGAAAGGCTAAGAAGCATGTGGTTGGCTGCAGCCTGGACTACGGCAGTGTCCTGCTGCTGGCCCCCTGGCACTGCGGTCCTGACGCTGAGTCAGAAGGGCAGCTGGGTTCAGAGAGCCATAGTCAACCCAGGGAGGCCACGTGTCATCTTAAAAAAAAAGCTTGAAGGCTAGGGTAAGGTAAAATATGGGATTCCCCATTAAATTTAAGTTTCACAGAAACACTGAATAATGTTTTAGCATAGGCAAGTCTCAAATATTACATGGGGAATATCTAAATTAGTATTTACCTAAAATTCAAATTTAACGGGTTGTTGTAGATTTTTACTTGTTAAATCTGGCAATCCTACCTGGGGAATATCCTTCCCCAGAAAAGAAAACCTTCATTCGGTCCTGTGAAAATTCCTTATACTGGGTTCCATTCATGGTGTCCCCTTTCTCTTAACACCCTCCAACCCACCTTCACTGGGAATCGTTCAGGTAAGCCTTTGCTAGAACTATACAGCCCTCCTTCCTTTTGCCTCTGTACTTATACTTACTGTACCTTATAAATCAGCACATAATTTTATCCTTCCTCACAGTGTGTGGTGGTATTGCATAAATGTTTAGCTTTTTCTCCACCTCAACTGTAAACAGTTTGAGAGTTACCCATGAGTACCTCAAGTACTTGACCCACTGTTGATTACAAGTAAAAGGCACTCCTGTCTAATAACACTTTATGTACATTTCTATTACAAAAGTAATATGTATTCTCTGTAAAACATTACACCCTTACTTAAAGCTTCTATACGTTTACTAGCTTTAAAAACACTTTAAGATAAAAGGATGAAATACAAATAGGTAACTGTGAGTATGAAACCCATAAATATTTTAAAATCAAGCAATGCTCTTTAAAAATATTTTCTGAATTCTGTATTTCTCCACTGCCCAGAGTCTGAAAACTGAAGTGTACATCATCTGTATTTAAGCAATCTAGCTGAAAATAGCCCATTTTTAAAGGTATGTGACTCTTACACAACAAAGACCCATGGGAAATATTTAAAATACCTTGTTAATCAAGTGGTCTAAATATGAATTAGTTCTTGTTGCAAAAAATTATTTCATCTGCAACCTTTTAATATATAAAATGACATCATCTCATATCACCATGATTGAATATATTAGTTGTTTTTTGGTTCCAAAAGAGTAAAGTGGTTTCCTGAGTTAAGGATGCTAGTTCTGTGATTTCCATTAAGAAAATACTGAGAGAAAAGTATGGAGACCCAAGCCACCAGCCTGGGTCCAGCACCAGGTTGCTCTAGAATTGCTGGCATTTGAGGAGGCGACACCAGACCTGTACCAATCAGACCCAGTGGTTGACTGAGCCCATGGAATGGAGCCACCAAGATGGTGCCACCTAGTCTCCAAATCGCTGAGTATACTTTAAAATATTTAAGAAGATAAAAATTTGTTGAATTCTTCCAAAAAAGTCCTCAAGTACACTGTTCTTTTTAAATATACAGCAAAAAGAGCAGGCTGAAATTAAAAGGTTCCCTTCCCTCAATCCCTGTCTTTGTCCTCTTGATGAGAAATATCAAGTCCAATTTTCTAGCAATTTCCTTAAGCTTCCAAGTATTTGCTTGCATGAACCCTTTTCTAGGTTCTGGGAGGAATTCCCCCGGCAATAAATCATAGAGTCAAATTTTCTTTAAAAATTTGCAAAAGAAAGGTATTTTAACTACAATATGTTAAGACCACTGTCTATTTCCAGTCAGAATTCTCTTTTGTCACATATCCCTAGGGAGTGGTGTCGGGGTGGAAGTGAGACTTTTGGGGATACAGAGGAAGTTGGTTGAACACACATTTAGTGTGAGCGTGATGGGATATTACATGGTTCACAATCACACAGTCTGTAGTTAAGTTACTGTTAGCCGTCCTAGGGCAGGACTGCTTCAAGGAATAAACAATCCTTCCACCCTGTGCTAACAGACACCCTGCTACAAAGAGAGCGGGACCAGATGTTATGGATCAAGGACGAATGTGCCTGTTGCACTCATCCTAGAGACATGTGGGAGGTGGAAGAGAAGCCAGGTTTGGCATGCACAGAACCAGGAACTAGTCAGTGAAAAATTCTCCCAATCATCAAAAATGTAAAACTAAGCAGAAAATTTTTGTCTATTCAAAATGGAAGGTCTTTCCTGTAGGAACAGATGGTATATTTTATATAGTGTTTAAAGAAATCATATTTTTAATTTCTTATTTTGTTTAAAGATTTTATTTATTTATTTTTAGAGAGGGGAAAGGGGGGAGAATGAGAGGGAGAGAAACATCAATGTGTGGTTGCCTCTCATGTGCCCCCTCCTGGGGACCTGGCCTACAATCCAGGCATGTGCCCTGAATGGGAATTGAACTGGCGACCCTTTGTTTTGCAAGCAGGCACTCAATCCACTGAGTCATACCAGCCAGGCTAATTTCTTATTTGATGAGGTGAATAAAATAAAAATTTTCAGAATTCCTTTGTTTTCAGAAATCCAGTTGTGATTTCTTATTTAAAGTAACTTTCTCATACCTAATTTTATATCAGTAATTTTATATTTTTTCTAAGACAGAGACCCCAAATCACATAAGCTTCAAGATTCACAAACGCCTAGGTCTGCCCTGGTGAGCAACCTACTAAATCCTCTCTTATTAGTTCTCACAAAACACACAACATAAGTAAGCTCCAAAAGCCTAATGCTAAACAAAAGAAGACTGATTCAAGAGGCCACCTGATGTGTTATTCCATTTATTTAACACTCTAGTTTACTTAAAACCAC